GGTTGAGTTTCCTTATGCATTAGACATTGTAGAATGAATTAGGATCTTAGCAACACGGATCATTAATGACTCACGGTATGAAGCTTTCTACATAATCCATTATTTTGTTGTTCTCGGTTATTTGGCATTGGCAGGATTTATGTCTCTTTGGATAACACTTGCTATTTTTATTTGCAGCAGAAACGATCAAAAAATATTGCCAATGGGCCAAGTTCTTTTTTAAAGCATTCCTAAATGAATTATACAAAATTGTTTGGAAGCATCCATTCTATATTAAATAGATTTAAACTAATACGTAATAAATACTCATATAAATATCCTAACATGCACTTCAAGTCTATTCTACTTAGTTTTGCAAATAAAATGTCGCTAAGAGTCTCTCCCAAGTATCAATGCTAAGCTACACTCTATCATGAAACAGTGTACAGCCTATAGATACAGTTAGTCTGCATTTCTCAGGATTCAGATCAGATGTAATATATTCTTCATAGCACTTTACATATTCTTAACTGGAGAAAAAAAAATAGTCCAGAATTGAGGACTCTCTTAGTAATTTGACTGCTACATGCCAATTTTCAGATTATTATGCACCAGAAAACTTAGAGAGAGAGATAGAGAGAAAAGCAACACAATCCAAGGTCCTCAAGTCGATACCAAAGAGTTCCTAGCTTATTGGCATCTCCATCTCAAAAAGAAAATAAATATTGATCATATAAATAATTAGCAAGGCTTTCATATATTTACATATTGCATTTTCTATATATACTCGAGTGACTGAAGACTTAAAACTACAAACTTAAACAATGACAGAACCACGCTCACTGATCAGAAGGAAAACCAATATTAATATTTGACATTTATTAACTCTCACTCTGCTTCATGGATTATTTCTAAACTTTGCATCACCCGTCTAGCAGGCTCACTGGCTTTTATACTTGTTGAAGGACCTTCAGAGTCAAAAGGATTAGGAGGTATTGGTAATTTGTCTCCTTGTCCTTCCAACATTTGAACCACCACCCGCATTGATGGTCGATCCATAGCATGCCATTAGATGCACCACAGCCCCATCCTCTTCTTCCTCAATATGAATTCTTATATCTTCCCTTCCTTCTAAAATATTCTAGATCCATTCAGGATGGTAGATGTGGGCTGCATTTTCTTCTGCATCATTTGTGATCCTTCTGCCCCCTATCACTTCAAGTAGAAGCATTCCAAAACTATAAACATTGGTTTTGCGAGACACATGTCCAAAGTTTTAAGAGAATACTTTGGGAGCCATATAGCCAAAAGTACCTTTGGCATTAGTTATTGACACTATACTTTGATTTAGAACATAATTTGGTTAGCCCAAAATCAGATATTTTTGGAGTGAAATCATTATCTAATAAAACATTTTGAGGTTTTATGTCAAAATGAAGTATGCATCTCTCACAACCATGAAGATACTCAATTCCTTTGGCTATGCCTAAACCAATTTCTTGTTACTTTTTCCAACTAGGAAAGTTTTTCCTTTGACTGAGTGAATTTATGAAATTTTGTAATGAACCATTTGGTAAGTACTCATAAACAAATGCTCTTCTAAAGCCATCAGCACAGAAGCCAACTAAGCGAATAATGTTGGCATGATGGATTTTGGCCATGGTTCCAACTTCCATGATGAAGTCTTCACCATTTCCTATTTCGGAATCAGAAAGAATTTTCACTACAACTTGGAATTGGGATGAAATGTTTCCTTTGAACACAGCACCAAAAGATGCTTCTCCTAACTTTTCTTTAAATTGATTGGTAATTCTCTTAATTTCAGCATAAAAATACTTGGCGGGCTCCAGTGCTTTACAATCTTTCAAAAACTTGTCAAGTATTTCCCGGCTTTCTTTTTGTGATTTGTAAGAATCGATGATGTAATGAACTGCAACAATAATTGCTACTAGAAGAAATGAGCCCACAATGACTCCTGTGTATATAAAAACTCAAATTTAATAGAAAAAACTATACTTCCATTGGAAAATTCCAAGCTCAATTTGAAAGCTAACCTCCGGTTAAAAACTTGTTTGATGAACCTGCAAAATAAATTAACATTATATTGGTCAGCTTTGCACATGCACTCAAGTACTTATATATTATTATATTTCTCTATATAGTAGATTTTTTAGAAAGCATAGGCCCACATGACTTAGAGAGGGGTGTCAGCTGCTACTTAGATGCTGCCCCTGCTTCCCCTTAATTTTGGGGCTCTTCCAAAAAAAATTTTTGCTATTTTTTTACCATTAAATTCTACATAGTTTGATATTTTATTTGTAGAAAATGGTTCAATTTCTTTTTAATTTAGAGTTCTACATCTTTAAAAAAATCGTAAAAATTTGAAAACTATACCATTTTTTATAAATAAGATGTCAAATATCACTCCTTTTGTATAGAATTTAATAATAAAAAGAACAACAAACAAAAATTTGGGAAGAGCCCAAAATTAAAAGGAAGTGGGGGGCATCACCAAGGGGTAGCTTACACCCCGCTCCCCATGACTCATCTTAATAAGAATTTTGATGCTTTCCATGTTCATGTGAATTTGTATATCCATTGGAAGCGACAGTTATATGAATGAATCCATGTTATGGTCTGCCATTTAAATTTGTTCAGAAAGCAGACTAGATCATACCTGTGTCAAAGCATGCAGTTTCATTACTAATGCTGCTATTCTTGAACCCGCACCTTCTCCCCGTTGATTCGCAATGTTTACGCATAGGATTAGACCAATTCAGATGAAGACTGTAATCATCTCTAAAAATCTCTCCTGGGACGGATGAAATGTTAAATACGTTGGTGCAAGACAAAAATGAAAATCGTCTGATGTATGTACTTGATGAAATGGCATATACGTGATGGGTAGATCTGCGCTGGCAAGTTGAGATTAATTTCACATCCTCGAAGCTTTTCGGTTGCGAGCAATTGAAGACAGTGAAGTTGTCATCATCATCCTCAAGAAACGACCTGGCTTTGAGTTGGAAAGGGGAAGGAGGAAGAAGAGTGAGGTTAGGGAGATGTAGAGAGAGGCAGCCATGAGGATCATAGAGCTGAACAGTTTGGCAAGTGTAATCAATGTGTTTGACATTGAGTTTGATTGAAGGAGGTAGCTCAAGAACAGAAAAATTGGTAGAGGAACATTGTAAACCAAACCCAGGATAACCACACTCTTCAGGTTGGTGTCCTGTTATCCGGAAAGCAAATCGAACAGCAAGTTTTCCACATTTTGCTTCAGGTTCTGGATAGCTACTTTGGCTTCCTACAGATTCTGAGAACCCACCTATCAGCAACAAGTAAATGATGAAGAAGGAGTTTACTGTTGAAGTTCTCATCATCTCCCCCCTCTGGCTTTCTCCCAGTAGCTAAATGAGTTAATTTAGATTTTTGTTTTTTTTAATTTAGTCTTTGTAGTTTCAAAATTTCTTAAGACTTAGCAAATTTAGGGGTGTTTGGTAACTTAAAAGTACTTTTCAAAATATTTTTTTATAGATCGAGATAAACTGTTACATATGTTTATTTCATATACTATAAAAGTACTTTTAAAATCATAATTTTAATTCTATTTAACCACGTTCTTACTCCTTAAAGTTAACTAAAATTTATATAGAAGTCCCTGGCAAGGCAATGTGGGAAAATGAGACAGTAATATACTGACAAGGTCCCCACCACCACGATCACTTTGGTCAAATGGTAGATCTGTTTCTAACTACGCAGGCATTCACTTAAGCCCCTGTTTTCGTAGTAGTAGAACAGAGCCTTGGGGGCATTGCTCATTTTCTTTTTCATTAGTTAGATCATTTTTTTATGCAATCATTATGTATATCATTGCTTAACACTCTCTATAACGTGAATTAAAAAAATTAATTAAATAATGAGAGGATACTTCTCTCAGATTTATCTTATAGTGTTGCCATAACTTCTCTATCTTATACACTCTGTAATTTAGCTGTGGTGTTCTTGACTTAAACACGTGTGTGTGTAATTTGTAAAATCTATTAATGGAATCCAAAGGCATTGAAGGAACAATATCATCGAATGAAGACTTGTACAAAAGGTATTTCACACGGTCAATAACCTTTTGCATAGAGAAGTAAAGACCAAAAACCAGACTCAAATGAATGAAATGATACGACGGATGGTGCGAACATGGACGAACTGGCTTATGCATTTTAAAAATTTTTTATGGAGCCACCAAATCCCTTATGTCAAACACACAAAGTAACATTTAACCTTTTTTAGAAGTTGTTTGCTGTATTCTGAGGACCGTTTTACAAATTCTGAAGTTATAGGGACTAAATTAAAAACTGGTGCAAAGTACCAGGAATAAGGGTCGAATTTCACTGATTACGTCCCATGATATGCCTGCACAATCCAGATAAATCATTGAAGTGGGCTCAGGTGTTTGCATCAGGACCATTCGGGCAGAAAAAATGCCAATGTCATGATGATAAGAAATAAATGGTTGAGTATCTTCAATAATTATGCCGCGCACAGCCCTTTGTGTGTAGTACTGCGAAGCTGCCAAACTCGTGCCATCGTCAGAAGCATTCCTTCAGGCAAATTTTTGATCGGATGAAATATGTAACTGAGGACTGGGCTTTAAACGTCATTACGGAATTGTAATCGCTACTTACTCTTGAGTCTAAGGTAAGAAACATGAGTTATAGGAACTAATTAAAAATTGATGCAACTAAACGTCCAATGTTCCTGATCTCCTCACACGACGTACCTGCATGATTCAGATAAATCATTGACAGTGGACCCGAGTCTGCAACTGCTTGAAGATAAGGAATATATGGTTGTGGATCTTTAGTTTATATCGTTTCTTGTCCTCTCTTCAATATATAATTATGCAAGTACGCCAGGAGAAATCCTGCAGGCAAATTTTGGATCTATGAAATATATAATTGGGACCAAGCTTGAAGGTAAGAAGCATGTGTTGCTCAGCAGCACAATTACTGGTGCCGTTGTTTCTGATAATGGGATCCTACGAATCATGCAAGGCATCAGAAGGAGATGTTAATGTTAGGAGAGCTTTCCGGCTAGAAGACTCTCAGAAGGGGCGTGGTGTCCCCATTTACGAGCTATCTTGCGAACAGAACCAATTATTAATGCTTTTGAAATCTGGGAGGTATAATGTTGTGTTCATTAATTATAAGAATAGTACGATCCGAGTGAGGGATACTCGTGTGGTAGAGTCGGATCACCCTTCCTTGCCTGGCTATTCTTTAACAGACTTAAACTTCAGCTATTGGGACGATCCATATAGCCCCACCATTATTCCATCCGTTTTCGATGGTGTTTATGTGGAACTTGAATCGAATCAACTGACAAGAGTATGATATTCGTAAGGTGCAGAAACCAGTGCATTCCCCCGTGTTGGTGGACACAGCCCTTGCTTCAAAACTTCAAATGGCTCTGTAGCTTCTTCTTCTTTGTATTCACATGTGAATGTTGGCAGCAAAACTCTCGGTGACTTGGGGTTAGACGATGATTTTGGTATAGAAGTGATATACATGACGTCCTGCGCCTGCTCCGAAGAACAACCAGACTTGTCCTGCACAGACACCCACAATATGCTTCTTTATGGCTTTGAAATTTTTTGGTGGAAAGGAATATCAAACTTTAACGAAATCAAGCATCTACGCTGTTTAGTAGGCAAGTCCTTAAACTCTAGCTGTAGCTTCATTACTCTTGCATTTTCCTTACTTAAATCAGGCAAATTCTCCGTTCTGGAATTGGGTTCAAATGAGTCTGTCATAGACATTGTTAAAATGTTCATGCGTCCGACTCTATCATCTTCATACGCACAGAGAGAGAGAGAGAGAGGCTTTACAAACTTAATCCACATCCCTCGCTGTCATTTGTCTTTATCCACATGTCTTCACTCTTGTCCTGTTCATACCTTCCAGGCTGAAAAGAATTTGCTATAAGTGTCACTCAGAATCGAAGCCCACGTAAACATTAATCTGATTCCTTTACATGTATAATCAAGAGTGAACTTGCCAATTTGAGTTTTGGATAGTGTTGGGATCGAGTCTTTTGAAAATGGGTTTGCATCATAATAACTTAATCAAGAACTGATAAAGTCCATCATTGGTAAAACATTTCACCCTATATGCAAATTATTTAAATTAGGAGAAATCCCCCATATTATTTATTACTAACATAGTTGTTTATTATCAGAGGACTTTGTAGCTCGCTACGTATTTGCGTACCGTCGGGTAGGAGGTAAGGAACTTGTAACATTTTTAGCACGACACATTTTTTTAATTTTGTAAAAGTATATATTCATCTAATAGCATTCTTCAAAATAAAATATTTAAATAGAGTGTCAGATGAACTTTTTACTGTTCAAATTTTTTTTTAAAAAAGATTTTGTGACCTAAAAATTTGTTTTTATGTATGTCGTAAAAATAATTCTATGGCTAAATTTGTCTTCAAGCAAATGTTAAATTTTTAAGATTCTTGACATTCATAGCTTTAATTGAAAATCTTGAACTGTGCCACTTTAAATATAACAAGTTGTATTTTGTCAAATTTTGTTATCCTAAATTTAAATAATTATATTTACAATTTCCCTTCTATTCAATGTGGCCCTAGCTATTTGCTCAAGATATAAATTGACATCACCTCTCTTTCTTTGCTTCGCAGCCCCTTATATTATCCGCCATCATTTTGTTTAGGTATTTTCTTGGCTTGAACCAAACAATAAAAGTGACGTGTTATAGTTCGAGATAGAGGGCCAGCCCCCACATTCGAATTTTTTTTTTTTTTTGTGTTTCTTCTCTTTCAAATTTTCGTGAGCAGTTATACTTTGCCTTTGTAGAGGAATTTTTGGGATCGTAATTGTCATGGTCTGTCGATCCATAAATGGCGACGAAGACATCTGGCAGTGCATGTCAACATTGAAGAATTTCTGCAAAGCCACAGCAGCACCATGCTATAAAGTACTGCTATAAAGAAATCAAGAAAATGACACAAGGGGTTTAACGTAAGACTTGGGAAAGCAAGCTATGGCGCTGTGTTCAATGGAAAACTTCGAAGTGGCTATCAAGATGTTGGATAAGGGCAAAGGCAATGTCAGGATTTCATCAACGAAGTTGCTGTACTTGGTAGAATCCACCATGTTAATGTGGTGCAACTCATAGGTTATTTGTGTGAAAGGATCAAAGCGTGCTCTTGTATATGAGTTCATGAAAATGGGTTTAACATACTTTTTAAAAAATATATAAATATCTAAAATTAGTAATATTTTATTAATATGTAAAAAAAAAAAAAAGAAATGGCTTTCCACCACCAAATTCGGTGGAAAGCCGGGGGGATTTGACTTGGAGAAGAATTTTGGGGGAGGGTAGTCAATGAGAGAAAAAATGAAGGAAGAGTAATTAATGAAGAAGAAAGAAAAAGAAAGGAAGGAACATATGAAGAAAGAATGTTGGGGAGGAGTAATAAACGAAGGTGGAAAAATTGGGAGTATATTAATTGACGAAGAAAAAAGGACGGACGCAGGTTGGAAAAAAAAAAAAGGGGACGGTTGAAGAAAAATAGGATGGGTGTAGATATAATAAATTGAGGAAGAGAATTAAATGTCATGATATTAAATACCTGCGGCCTTTGTCTTCCTTTCACTTTTGTGTGAGAAGTAGAGAAGAGAAAGGAGAGGCAGAGAGGAAAAGAGAGCAAGCGAGTTGAATTGCAGAGTACGTGACAAGTTTTGGGAATCATTTAGGTACACAAAACTATTTTTTTTTGTCAAATTTTTTTTATGAATATTTTCTTATATTTATAGTTTTTATTATTAGTATCATTATAATATTGAGAGAAAATTTTACCATTTGAGTATGGAGTAAATGTGGAGTTTTGATAATATATGACCGTAAAAATTTAAAGATACATTAATAAAAAATTTTAATCAGTTTATATTTGTTCAATGATTGTTTTGAGAATTTTAAATTAAGATTTTAGCTGAAAAATTTGTTATTCAAAGATATAGAATGTTTTTGCTGATTAAATTTAAATTAAATAATTTATTTGGATTATTAAATATATTATTGAGATTTTAATTAGTTTGAATATTGAATAGGTTAAAAATATATTTTGAAATAATTTTTGAAGGCTTGAAAAATTATAAATTAAGATTTTATGAAATTAGATAAGTTACAATTTATTTATAATTCAAAAAAATTGTTTGGTTGGAGGAAAATTTTTAATGAAACTATAATAAATAATTGAGATTTTAATATAAAATGTTTATATTTTAAGAAATATAATACATTATATATTAAGTTCTAAATTTAAATAGTCTTATATATGTAAATTATATTTTCAAAATAACATTATAGCTATTATAAATAGCTAGATCTGGGAGTTTATGTAATTTTAGTTTAGAGAGTAGTCTTAAAATTTTAAGGGTTTTGGAATAGTTTTAAGTTTTATATTAATAAACCTTTATGTGCAATTTTGTAGACTCTTAAGAATTTAGAATAATCTTTGTGTGAATATTTATAATTTATAAGTTAAAGAGTACCAGGTAATTCTAAAAATTCTTTCATGTACATGTGAATTGTGTATGATTATATTGTGGATTTACTAATTTTTATATCATACTGAAATATAATATTATGATTTTTCAAATACATGTTTGATATGTTATTTGATTTTGTTAAGATTTATTGCTATTATGATCAATATTTAAATATATTGATAGGTCTGAAATTATTATGAGTTGATGTTAAATGATACATAAATTTATTGCTATCTTATTTTTAGTAATATATTTGGATATATTTATGATGTAATATTATTTGCATATGGCATATACATTGTTGAGCTAAGGATAGAAAAGATTTGTATGGATATAAATTACCGCGTGATATGCTATCACTCAGTGCCACAGTAGATGGCACTTGTCAGGGCTTCTTCTTCCATATTTTCCTTTGGCTTGGAATTTTTAGAGTTGTGGGACATATGATACCTCCCTATCTGCAAAGGAGGGGAGTCATAGTCCGAACTTGAGCTTTATATCTTAAGCCAAATAAATCTCTAGTGGTGGTAAGCTTGAATAATTAGTAAAATGGATTAATAATCCTATTAGACTATACGTATAGTGCCTATTGTAACACCTTATATAATTATATCCATATACCTGATAAAATATTTCATATAAAATCCATACGTTACTAACACTCCAAACATTCATAATTTCAAAATATTTCTGACATAACAACAAAATACTATTAAAGTTTTATAATCATGAGAATTAAAATATAACATAGCAGTGTCCGAAGAGCACAGAAGCCTTCATTGCTCACTCTATTAGTGCCTTCCCTTGATTCCTACTAGATCCTTTGCCTGAAAATTGTTAAGATAGGGGATGAGATCAAACGTCTCAATAACTACTGAATTCTAACCTATACAAGCAATTATATATGATAATAAAAAAAAATCCGTTGTATGTGTCTGGTGTGTGATATTATATATATATGAAAACTACGGATTGATACATTCAACTCAATTTTTTTTTTAACAATATACCAATATTATTTTTCTAATATATCCAAAAATAATGCATATATGCTGCCTCCCTTATATCATCGTCTACCTTATATACCGCTGACTAGAGTCATAGGCTACACATAGTCTGATAGGAACTAATCCATTTTACTGAATTATTCCAAGCTCACCGATACTAGAGATATATCCAGCTAAAGATATAGAGCTCAAGCTCGGACTATGGCTCCCCTCCTTTGCAAATAAAATAAGGAGGTTTCACATGTCCCACAGCTCCATTGAATTCTCGGCCAAAGGAAAACATGGAAAAAAGGGGCCCTGACAAGTGTCATCTACTGTGCACCAAATGATGACATACCACGTGATAATTTTATATTCATGCAATCTCCTTCTATCCCTAGCCCACAATGCATGTCAGATGCCAATAATGTCACATCACAAATACGTCTTCAAATATATTAAAAATAAGATAGCAATAAAATTTATATACCATTTAATAGCAACTCATGACAATTCCATAGCCATCAATATATTTAAATATTGATAATAATTAATAGTAATAAATCTTAACAAAATCAAATAATATATCAAAACATTTATTTGAAAAATCATAATATTATATTTTAGTATGATATAAAAATTAGTAAATTAACAATACAATCATACACAATTCACATGTACAAAAAAGAATTTTCAGAGTTACCTGGTACTCTTTAACTTACAAATATTCACACAAAGATTACTCTAAAATTCTCAAGAATATACAAAATTGTACATAAGTATTTATTAATATAACCTCAAAACTACTCTAAAATTCTAAGACTATCCT